CTCTACAAGAGCCCGAGCGCCGACAAGCCGGACGCTACCCACAAGGCGCAGTGGGTCTCGCGCCAAGTGGCCAAGTACGCGATTCCCGCCGACGTCCGCAGCCACGTGACGTCCTTTGCGCTGCACCCGACGACGCCGAGCCAGATGTGGGTCGCGACGGGCGACTGCCGCTTGCGCCTCTTTGACCTGGCCACGGGCCAGGTCCTCGCGACGCATACGCGCAGGGACCCGATCGTGTGGATCGCGGCCGTTGCGCCCGACCTTTTGGCGATCGCACTCAACACGACGGTCCGGTCCGATCAAGCGATCGCAGCGCAATTGTCCCTCTGGAAGAAGAACAAGCCGAAGGAGGACGAGGACACGGGTGAGGCGCCCAAGTCGAAGAAGAAGGACTGGTCGGCGGCCTGGACCGTGAACCTCCACGGCCTCGAGGCAACGCACTGGAAGATCGAACTCCTTGACACGGCCAAGGGCCGCTTTGACTGCAAGATCATGTCGGCGCAGAACCGGCCGTTTTTCGGCGCGGCCTTCCAGCCGTCGTCGGACCCCGAGTTTATCGGGTGCATCGCCGCCGTGGGTGGCAAGGAGCTCCAGTTTAGCCGCATCTACGCCCGGCCGGCCGGCGACAACAGCCCGCACAATTTTCGGACGCGCAGCTTGCGCCATGCTCGCCGCATGACGTGTGTCGCGCTCCACCCGACGCGCGACGAGGCTGTGACCGGCGATGTCAACGGTCAGATCCAGGTGTGGCGCCACCTCACCGAGCACATGGTGCCCGAGCCGACCAAGCTCCATTGGCACGCGCACCCTGTCGGGTCGGTCACGTACTCGGCCGACGGCAACTACGTTGCGTCTGGCGGCGAAGAGTTTGTGTTTGTGCTCTGGCACCTCGAGAGCGGCAAGCGCCACACGATCCCGCGCTTCCCCGCGGCCATCACGTCGATTGTCTCGCGCGCCGACGGCGCCGGCTACTACGTGGCGACCGTCGACAACTCGATCGTGTACTACAAGCACGTGGCCGACACGCGCGCATGGCACGTCGGAGGCCTCGCGCGCGTCGGCCTCTCGAGCAAGAAGACGCTCATCAACGGCCGTCTTGCGCTCGAGCCGTGGTCGCAGACGCTCGCGCTGCAAGGCACGTCGCTTGTCGGCAACGTGCAGCTCTACGAGCCGCTCCAAGACCGCGTGCTGCGGACGGTGCCGCTCACGGAGCGCAACCAAGTGTCGGCGGTAGGTCACGCTGCATTGTGCGTTGAAAGATTGACACTTTTCTCTGTGCGCTAGACGTTCAACGAAGTGCCGACGCGTACGTTTGCGACCCACATTGCCTTTTCGCATGCGACACGCACGATGGCAACGATCGCGCGCACGCAGGACGAGTCGGTGCTGCGCTTCTGGACCCGCAAGACGGACGGGTCCTTCGTTGTCAACACGGACGTCGACCAGCCGCACGGCATCGGACGCGTCATCACGGCCATCGCGGTGCACAACACGCGCATCGTGACGGGCGACGACCAGGGCGAAGTGCGCGTGTGGGCGCTCGGCGACGGCGTCTGGTCCTGCGCGAGCATGTCGCAGTTCCGCAAGGTGCCGGTCGGTGCGATCGCCTTCTCGGACGACGGGTCGCTGCTCGCGATTGCGTACGGCCCGCTGCTCACGCTGTGGGACCCGGTCACGAACGCGCTCCGGTCCGTGCTCTCGTACCCGAAAGAAGCGATTGTTGACATTGCCTTTGCCGGCCCGTCGTCGCCGCTCCTCGTCGCGCGGACCTCGGCCGGTGTCTACGTCTGGTCGCTCCTCACGTGCTCGATCGTGTGGTTTTACGCGGTCCCGTTCACGTGCATGAGCATTACGAAGACGGCGAACTCGAGCCAGCTCCTTCTCGGCGTCACGACGGGCAAGAATGCCAAAGTGGTTGGCCACCTCTTCGTGTTTGACACGGCGTCGTCGATCCCAACCGCGATCTACCGCCTCCCCGGCGTCATCATCAACGACGCGGTCTTTTACAAGCAGCACTTGCTCGTCATGGACAACCACTCGACCGTGCACGCGGTCGGGGACGCGATGCTCGTGGCCTCGCTGCCGGCGACGATGGAGGAAGAGTCCAACTCGATTCTGCAGCAAATGTACGGCGCGTGGACGGTCCCGAATGCGGCTTCGACGTCGAGTCTGACCAAGGAGGACGCGACCAAGGCCGGCAACGGCGGCATGTTTGCGGCGCCATCGCACGTGCTGCCGCCGCTCCGATCGCTCTACCGTTCGTTCTTGGACACGGTGCTCACCAAGGCCAAGGAACACGCGGCCAAGTCGACGAGTGCGACCCACGCGCCCTTGAAGCGCACGACGACGGACGAGATGCCGGCGGTGTCGAGCAAGAAGGCCAAGGTCGACGACGAAGCCCCCGAAGACACGTACGCCGCACTGAAGAAGGTGTTTTCGCAAAAGTAAAAAGGCGGGGTATTAATAATAGAAGAAAATCTGTTTATTTCATAAGACACTTCTGTACATGATCCATAGGCAGCACAACGAGACTCTCGATCCATCCCAGAGCTATCCTGCGCATAGTTCAACGACTGGGCTACGATCTGCGCGCGAGAAATGTGATGAAATTTGAAAAAAAATCCCGTGTCCATCGCCCATGTCCTTTCTATGGGAAATAAAACTGCGCCGCGCCTGTGTACTGACGTAGCTTCGAGTCGGTTGACAGCATACATCGTATTTGTCTACCAATGCATCGTACCGGTATTACTATGTACGACATTATTGTCATGTTCGATGGAACGAGTCGGAATTCCACAGCAAAATTTACGTTGCGTAATACAATACGAAAAAGGCATAGGGTATACTTGTATCCAGATAATAAAAATAATTGACGGCGCGTTTCCTTTGGCAAGACAGCAACATGCCATCGGATTGGCTCGGACCGACATTGCAGTAATCTTTTTAGCCAATGAAAAGCGGCGAAAAAACCTTCTTTGGTGTTTGACACAACGGCAGCTCCAGGGGTGGGCGGACTAGAGCATTCAAGCAAGAGCAAGATGGCAACGAAGCGCTACAAGGTGGTCCTGCTCGGCGAAGGTACGGCCTGCGGACGAGGGCCCGCGCTCATGGGCGACTAGGCCGCGTGGGCAAGACCTCGATCCTCCTGCGCTACATCCGCAACGAGTACGACGACCGCCAAGTGTCGACGCTCCAGGCGTCGTACCTGGACAAGAAGCTCTCGGTCGAGAACCAGAACGTCCAGCTGTCGCTCTGGGACACGGCGGGCCAAGAGCGCTTCCACGCCCTCGGGCCCATCTACTACCGCGACGCTGGTAGTCCTCCATGGCCGGACGTCGCATCTCGTATCCATGGCGTGTGCGTGTAGATGGCGCGCTCCTGGTCTATGACATTACCGACGACGAGTCGTTCAAGAAGGTCAAGACGTGGGTCAAGGAACTGCGCCGCATCGTTGGCGATGAAATTGACATTGCGATTGCCGGCAACAAGATCGACCTCAAGCGCAACATCAAGGTGACCGAGGCCGACGCGGTCGCGTACGCCAAGTCGGTCGGCGCGTCGCACTTCTACACGTCGGCCAAGCTCAACCGCGGCCTCGACGACGTCTTTGTCGACCTCGCCAAGCGCATGCTCGGCCGCGGCGGCGCGTCGCGCTCCAAGAAGAACAAGGCCAGTGCGTTTGTCGCCGACGACGACGCGCCGATGCCGATGCCACCGTCGTCGGCGGCGGCGGCGATGGACACGACTGGCCGCAGCCGCGACGGTGCGCGCGGCAACACGATCCAGATCGTCGACGACCACCGACCGACGCGTGGCTCGCCGCACCACGGCAGCGCCAAGAAGAGTGGCTGCTGCTAAGTCCGTATTTACACATACGAATAATCCACGTATGACGATGATGTTTCCATGTTGAATATCGACGGCAACGGGGCACTTGCATGCCAAGCCGTCTACGCAGCCGCGTCGTCGGTGATGTGCAGCGCGCGAAAGTACTTGGCCTAAGAACCATGCAGGTGAAGGTGACAGGTTGGCGACGGTAGGGCGACGTACAATCCACGTGCCCGCGCTGTCGAGGCACGCGTCAAGCACGACGTCGCCGCTTGGTGCGTGGGCCGCGGCCGATGCGTCGCAAGGCGGCGACGGCGGCGTAAAGAAGGACGAGGTATCGCTGGGCTTGAGCGCACTGATGGCGGTCGCATCGACCACGTTGGCACTCAGGTCGACCTTCTTCACCTACGCCGCGATCGTATCAAGTTGATAAACGGGACGGTACCTGTTGGTTGTAGATCTTTTCTTCGATCGTGTCGTGGCTCACGAGGCGGTAGACGTGGACGTCCTTGCTCTGCCCAATGCGGTGGGACCGGCACATGGACTAGAATGGACCATTGTTGTCCAATAATGGATCAATCTGTCGTTTTACTTGGTGGTCGTGCGACGGGTTCCAGCTCACGTCAAAGAGCACGACACGGTTCGCGGCGTGGAGGTTGATGCCTTCGGCGCCAGCGCGCGTCGAGACCAGAAACACGTCGACGCCGCTCGAGGGATTCGAAAACGTCTACGCGTTGCATGACAATCTTGTACATCATATTGCCACGGCCTCACCTCAATATAGTCCATACGCTTGGACGACGACACGCTGCCCTCTAAAAGACGCCACGACGGAGCACGCTTCGCTGGCTTGACGGCCTTGCGACCTTTCTTGGCCGTCGATTTGGTCGATGTTTTTTCTTGGTCGCGCCGTCGTTCATCGCGTCGAGCGCATCAATGAAGCGTGCAATCTCGCGCAGGGTCGAGACGCTCTGGGAGAAGACTGCAATCTTGTCGCCAACGGCGCGACTATTTCCATGTGGATACATTTTTGGATCGATTTTTGAGGACGGACCTGTTGTGCAGAAGGGCAAGAAAGACCGAGAGCTTCCCGCTGTTCGCTGCGACGCCAGGCTCATATGCGTCGGCGTCGAGGCGTGCTGCCCACACGGTCGTCGCCGGGTCGCGCACGAGGCGCTTGCGTTTCTTGACGGGCTTTGGCTTGGCCGAGAGCACGGGCTGCCAGTCCGCCAGCTCGTCCGTCGCGTCATGCTCGTTCTCGTTCTCGTCGGCGCTGAGAAACAGCCGCGTTCGGACCACGTCCGGGTGGTTCACCAGTTGGAGCAGCGTCGTGTAGGCGGTAAAGAGGTCCCACTGCTGCTTGGTCGCGTGGTCCCGATCCAAGAAGGCGCAGTAGAGCTCGTGCTGCAGCGGCGAAAGGTGGCAGTGCACGATCCACTCAAACTTCTGCGGCAAGTGCGCGTTCAAGAGCGCTTGGCCGCGGCGCAGCACGACCGTCGAGAGCAGTGACGTGAGCTCGGTCGCCTTGGCGTCGTCGCCGTCCAGAATCGGCTTTTCATACGTCGCTCGAAACACGTCGTACGTGCCGAGGAAGCCCGGTAGAGCAAAGTTGACCATGCACCAGTACTCGGCGAGTGAGTTCTAGTCGTCGCGTGGGTTCAGAATCCAAGCGACGAGAGAAAAAGATGCAACGACCTGCAGCGGGTAGCCCGTGAGGACGATGCGGTTGGGCGTCGCGATGCGCTCGAGGCACGTGCACAGGATCGAACTCGGGTCCTTGATACGGTGGCCTTCGTCCAGAGCCACCTACGCCAATGCCATCAATGATGAGAGAGGATCCAGAACGTACGAGGCTCGGCCCTGGATTGCACAAGAGCGTCGAGAGCTTCCGGAGTGCCTTGTCCATCGCGAGCTGGTGCCGGTCGTGGATCTCGACGACGCCTTCCTTCATGACCGTCGTCGCCTCGAGGACAATGCTGTCGCTGGACTTGGTCGGGTTGAGCAGCATGCGGTACATCTCGTAGCCGAGGATGAGGACGCCGCCGGTCGCGTGCCACTTTTCCAGCAGCTCAATGCGGCACGCCGGGCTCGCCTTGTGCTGATGGAGAAGAGGTCATGAGCCCTTTCTGCATGCTACAATGGCTACGCGTACGCTGCTGGTTTCCATGTAGAAGAGCGGACAGTGCGCTAGCGTGGTCTCCTTGAGCCATTTCCGAAACTCGAGGACCCAGTTCATGATGCATACGGTCGGGCAGAGCACGAGCGCCGTCCGTGTCTCGCCTCTAAGTGTGTCGGGTGAACGAGATTCCGAGAGGGTGGTGGTCGTACGCAGCGAGGCCGTCGGCGAGGTAGCTCTGCAGCGTCGTGATGAGCTGTAGCGTCTTGCCGAGACCCATGTAGTCGGCGAGGATGCAGCCACGCGACGCGGCCAAGTGCGTCGTCATGAAGCGGACGCCGTCGACTTGGTGCGGCTTGAGCACATCGGCGATCTCGTCCGCGACCCAGAGCTGCTCGTCGAGCTCGACGCGGCCGTAGTCGTCGAGCGGCCGCGCGCGCACTACGGGCGGGTTCGGGTGCAGCGGGACGTCGGCTTCCTCGTATAGGTCGCCGTCGCAGATGCACGGCAGCATCAAGCAGAGATCGCAGGGCGCCGTCGTGGTCATGAGGATGCTGCGCAGCGTCGCGAGCTTCTCGGCCTGCTTGGCCTCTTCCTCGGTGACGCAGACGCAGGGCAGGAAGCCGCACGTGCAAGCGTCGTCGTCGGCCATGGCTCTGGATTTCTTACTCTTGTACTGATTGGCGCCGCAACGACCAACACTGTGATACCCTCCGACACTTGATATTCTATCTATTTAGAGAGGTGTTGACGTTTTGGTTTGCGATCTTCCGGCATGGCTCGGGATGGAGCGCGCTGCTGGACAGTGGCGGCTAGCGCTACGAAGCCCCAGCTTGGGGCGTCCACGCGCTTGGCCGCACTACTTCCGCAGCTGCCAGAGAGTGCGCAGGCGGCCGTGGGCGTGACTGCGACCACGTCGCAGCAGCGTTGCATTCGCCAGTGATGGTCATCGGAGGCCAGGGATGGTAGAGGGAGCGCCGGTGGCAGTGGCAGCGACGGCCAAGAGATCCATGCAACCGTGCAGCCATGCAGCGTAGTACGTCCCTCGTACGCGCCGCTTGCAGACGTGCGAGCAGTACTCTACTGCATTTTCTATGGCATATATTGGACCTGTTTATTTCCGTGTGGCTGCATTTGAACCACCGTGGCATGGCGTTGACAGAGCGCAAGGGGCGCACACCAAGCACAAGCGTCACTGCGCCCACAACAAGCGCGCCGGCGGCAGCGCCGACGTCCGGTGCATGGACCGTTGTGCTTCTCGCCACGGTGCTTGCCCTCGGCGCGGCCCTCTTGCTCGCTCCTCACGACCAGCACCCTATGCTGTTTCCGACGCGGCTCCTCACGGCGCACAACCAAACATGGAAGACCGTTGTCGTCTACGACAATGGCAAGTCTGTCGGCGGCGTGCGCCTGTCGCTCGATCCATCCCACGTATCGTCTGGCGCGGCGCTGGCAGCGTACCTCTCGGAGCACATCTACGTCGATGGCATTCGGCTCGTGGGCGAGCCGGAGCCCGTCCGCATTCTGGCCGACCGCGTCTTCACCGGCACAGGTCGCCTTGTGACGTCGTTTGATGACTTTCAAGACGGCGACCGCTTGTACACCGTCGCGCCGGGTCTTCTCTTTGTGTGGCCGTTTGTCAAGGTATCGAGAATGCCATACAGTAGTATTTCGATGCAAAGGAGCCCTTGTAGCTAGGGCACCGCGTGCACATTCGTGCCGAGATGAGCCCGACGAAGCGCGACATGATCCTCGAGTCATGGAGCGAGAGCCCACGGGTGTTTCACGTGCACGACTTTTTCACGACCGACGAAGCCGATGCGCTCATCGCGCGCATCTTGACGATTGACGGCGAGTACGACAAGCTGCAGCAGTCGCACGTCGGGCACAAGAGCCGCGCCAAGGTCGTCTCGAGCCACCGCACGTCCGAGAATGCCTTCGACCAAGTGTCGCCGACGGCGCTAGCGATGCGGAAGCGATCCTTCGACTTGCTTCGCATTCCAAAGTACCAAGACGACATGTGCGACGGCCTCCAGCTGCTGCGGTACCAGCAAAAGCAAGCGTACATTGCACACACCGACTACTTTGCGGCGGGCACAAGCGACGACTGGAACTGGAACCCGCAGCATGGCGGCTCGAACCGGTTTGCCACCGTCTTCTTGTACCTCTCCAACGTGACGAGCGGGGGCCAGACCGTCTTCCCGCTCGCCGATATGCCGGAAGGCCACACGCACCCGCCGTTGCATCCCGACGCGCTCTCACTCTTTGCCAAAGAGAGCTGGGAGGCTGATATGGTCCAGAGCTGCAGTTCACGGTAGGTCGTCCGGTTTTGTATCAAGGTATCAAGACGTGGATGCAAACATGGCTGCAGGCTAGCCTCGTACCCGATGAAGACGCATGCAATTCTATTCTACAGTCAAAAGCCCAACGGTCTTCTCGAGACGCGCTTTGATACATGCCTCCTAACGATGGGTAGGGGAGCTCGACCCACGCTCGCTTCATGGCGGGTGCCCCGTCCTCGACGGCACCAAGTGGTAGCGTTCTTCTTCAAAGACAAGCGACGTGCAACCGTGATGGACAGGGCCGCGAACCTCTGGGTCTGGAACAAACGGCGGTATGGGCTCGATGACACGCGCGCCGACACGATCAAGGTCGTGTTCGTCAACCCGACCGACGGCCCCGTGGACCTCTATTGGTCGGACACGAAGCTCGCGACCATCAAGGCGCACGGGCAGCAGCCCTTCTCGTCGTTCCACGGCCACCGCTGGGTACACCATGACGCGTCCTCCGTCCATTTTTTGATACGTGGTTGTGCTAGGCGATGAAGGATGCTTCTGGCAACGTTCTGCATTCGACCGAGCTCGACAAGGCTCTCGGCGATGCCCAGACGATTACGATTCCAGCGTAGCTCGTCAGAGTCCAGTAGCACTCGCTCGAGATCGTTTTGGTGTGCTTGGGTTTAGTTCACGCCTGTCTCCGCAGGGACCGGCGGCTCGAGGAGGACGATGTCTTCAGCGCATGGTACCGTTTGTCGGTGAAGAGAGTCTAGAGTAGTATATTGGGACAGGTTACGCCGCCTCATCGTGCTTGCGCTTCTTGAAGACTTTGGTGAGCAGCGCTTTGGAGTTTTCGCCGAGCGACGCCTGCTTGGACTTGTCGGCAGGCGCATTTTGCCGGAACGTGCGCCGAATGTTGTCCATCGCATTGGGCACAGCGATGGCCTCGGCCTTCTTGCGCGCCTCCATCTTGTCGATCTGCTTGGACTGCTCGACGCGCTCCATGAACGCAGCGTTTTCCTTCGCGGCCTGCGCGATCTCGAGCCGGAGCTTCTGGTCGCGGACGCGGTTCTCGTACGCGATCTTCTCGGTGAGGTGCGCCCACTGGAAGCCCTTGAGGTACTTGAGGTTCCAAATGTCGTCGTAGTAGAAACCGCGCTTCTTGCCGCCCATGGGCTTGGTGTTGAGCGCGGCCGCGACACGCTTCGCGACCGACTTGTGCGAAAACTCGATCCAGCCCTCAGTAAAGTTGACCTTCTTGTTGCCGCCGGCCTTGAGCCGCTTCTTGCGCGCCGTCTTGTCTTCCTCGACCAAATAAATACGCTCAATGTCGCCGTACTGGCTGAGCAGATGCCGGACCTTCTCCGGCTTCATGAACGGCGGCACGCGGCTCATGTAGATGACCCCCTTCTTCGTCTCTTTCTTGGCCTTCTTGGCCTTCTTGGCCACCGGCGCCATGGCGTCGTCGTCCACGCTTGCCGGGGCGTCGTCTTCGGCAGCCTCCTCGTCAGCAGAGCCAGTGTCATCTTCAGCGGCATCTTCGGCAGCGCCAGCGTCATCTTCAGCAGCGCCAGTGTCATCTTCGGCAGAGCCAGCGTCATCTTCGGCAGAGCCAGCGTCATTGGCAGGCTCGACGTCCTCGGGCTCCTCGGCCATTGTCGTTGGCGGGCTCGGCGTCCTCGGGCTCCTCGGCCGATGCGTTCGTCGCCGCAGTGATGGCCTCGGTGGCAGCCTCCGCGGCTTCGTTGGCGTCATCTTGTTCGGACGCCGAGGACGGCTCGGCCACTGGCGCCGGCGTCGGCTTGGCGGGCGGCTTGGCGCCACGACGGGCAACCATCTTGGATCGGGCTCGGGCCATAACAACGGAACCAATCGAATTCTGCCAACCAGTTATTGCAAGGAATTGCGTGTCCGGATACCGTAAATCGTAGGGCGACAGGCTTAAAACGCCGCCGCGTCGCATGTTGTACACTATAAACATTGATCACTCGATATTTGTATCCAATTTTAATCCAAATAATAATGCACCATTATTAAAACCTCCAATGGATTGACTATAATAACGCTATCTAACCCGACCCGCGCCCAGCAGGGTACTGAACTACGCGCATGTTGCGCCTCCAAGTTGACAACGATCATGACTGCATGCACTTGTCTTGGTTATACGAGCTAGAAGGTCACTGGATCTCGATAAAATTCTCTCTCGGTCGGCGCTGTCGGAGGTTGAGATGCGTGTGATTAGCTTGTTGCAAGCGAGGATGTGACACGCACCGCATAACCCTGCGTATCCGGATATGCGGAACGGGAATCTTCCTGGCAGTCGGCGATAACCTGGCACGCAGCCGTCGTCCAGCATCGCCATGGCGCCAAGAAGCATGCTGCCACGCGCGCAACGATGCATGCTGCTGCTTGTCCTCGTCTTGAACCTTGGCTTGCTTGCGCTTGCAGCATCGCCGGCGCCGACCATTGCATCGAGCGCCAAGCTCCGCGCCGCTGACCCAACCACGCCGACGCTGGCCATGCAAGCACCGGCCAAAGAGCCCGAGTCGGCGCTCGACCACCTCGAGAAGCAGCTGCGGCTTATCGAAGACCTCGAAGAGTCCCTTCTGAACGGCCTCAACCACATTGACGCAGAGCTCTCGCAGAACCAGCGGCCGCGACGGGGCATGGCCCAAGCACCCATTCGCTCCGACATTCAGGGCCTGCGCAACAACTTGCAGCTGCTTGCGCGCAACCTCAACATGACGTTTTCAGAGCTCGACACGGTCGAGAAGGACACGGAGGAGAAGGCCAAGCAGCTCAGCGAGGTCCTCCGGCAACAGCACGCCGACGAGCAAGCCCACGAGATCGAGGCCCAAGGCGCAGAGGCCATCGACTACGAATCGGGTCGGCTCAAGAACCTCACGCACTCGGAGCTCTCGGCCAAGGAGCGCCAGCACCTCGAAAAGGTCAAGCACGACGCCGACCCCGCGGTACGCCAATCACCACGCCAGCTCGATCCCTGAACCAGCGTCTCTAGGTCCTCCACTACGATTTCAGTCTGCTCGGGCAAATTGCGCTGCTCTTTGGCGTCTCGGCGCTCGGCGGTATCGTCACGTCGTGGATCAACCTCCCGCCAACGATTGGGTACCTCGTGGGCGGCGCCGTCGTCGGCCCGTCCGGTCTCGGGCTCGTGCACCACTTCAAGGAGGTCGAGACGATCTCGCTTTTTGGCACAATCTTTCTCCTCTTTGGTATCCTACTCTATGTGCCCTGCTGAAATATATATGTTGTGGACACGATTGTCGTAGCCCACGGCGCCGAGTACTCGGTGCAGCGCGCCGACGAGGTGCTCAAGCAATATGTGGTCGCGGGTGCGCTCTACGTGGCGTCCACCATGGTGTGCATGGCGCTGGTCGGTACGAGTCTGGGCTGGGTACACCGCGAGCTCCTTTCCACGCTTCGACGGCCGATGTCGTAGGCGCCGTCTCTCTCGGAAGGCCTCGTTCTCGGCGCGGGCGTCTGCTTTACATCGACCGCGCCGCTCGCCGAGTATGTTCGCACGCAGAACCTCCGCCACACGGTGTTTGGTCGGGTACACGCTCTCTCGATAGTGAAAGCCTTTGTGTTTCCACGCACACTAGCTCGTCACGGCCATCGTGGCCGTCCAAGACGTGCTCATGAGTTTTGCGCTCGCGACACCCGAGTGGTTTACGCACCACAACTCGGCCGGCCTCGTCAGCATCGCGGTGCTCAAGACACTCTTTGCCTACGGCATCGTCGTCGGCCTCACGATCGTCTTGCATGTGTACAGACAAATGGTCTCCTGCCAACAACGATGGCGAAGTGTGGCGTAGGCGCGTCGTGCCGCCGCTGCTCGAGTTTCTCGTGTCGATGGAGCATGTCCACCGCTCGCCACTCGTGTTGCTGGGAATCGTCTCGGTCTGTCTCTTTATGGCACTCTTCACCGAGGTGCACAATATTGTCGTATTGTTTGTATCGATAGACTCACGACGATGGACGATGTAGACGCTAGGGCTGTCGCTCGAGAGTGGCGCGTTCTTCGCCGGCCTTGCGTTCATGGGCCAAACGAATTTAAAAGTGACCCTCACGTCGATCCGCGTGCTCGATAACCTCTTTGGGAGCATGTTTTTTGCCTGCATTGGCATGATTCTCAACCCAGTACGTACGACGGCTTTGAGCGTAATCGTTGAGGACTCGAGGATTAGGTCTACCTCGTCCGCAACTGCCTCCCCGTGCTCTCGATGATGCTGTGCATTGTCGTCATCAAGATCACGCTCGTGGTCGGGCTCATGACGTTTTTCCACATCCCGCCCTTGCGTGCGCTGAAAGCGGCGCTGAGCCTCTGCCAGGTACTGTCGCACTCGAACCTCAATGTCAAGGAGCATCGTGGTGGATTAGGTGGGCGAGGTCGCGCTCATTTTCATGATCAAGGCGCAGGCGACGCAGCTCCTTTCGCGGCCTGTGTACCTACAGTTCCTCGCAGCCACGTCGCTCTTCCTCGGGCTCTCGCCTTTTCTGCACAAGAGTCTGCAAGGCCAGAGCACCTTCCACTTTGCGTCGGTCGTGAGCCGCAGCAAGTCTCCGAGTCGTACGTGCTTCCTCTCGATCTGCATTCGCAACGATGTATACAATGTACTGCTAGCTGCCGACGACGATGACGCCATGCTGCCGCGTTCCCACGCCACCAAGTTTACTTGAAGACTTCTAGTAGAAAAATGCATTGCACTCCGAACAGAGCCACGCACCCTGCGTTTGGACAAAGGCTCCCCTAACCCCTTTGGCCTCGCACCCCTTGTTGGTGTTGAGCGAATCGTAAACCAGAACTTAGTACGACGACGCATGCGACGGATCTTGACGGCGCTGCGATACGCCGAGAAGGTTGCCGTGTTGCAGCAACCACCCAGAAAAGCGGAGGCAAAAACGTGGGGTGCATTGTTGCAAAGACGTGGCGTTAAGTTGAAGTTGGCGTCTCGACACTCTCAATTTGTGTCATTTTTCAATTTGCGAAAACTTAGAGCCAACGCCATGCAGCTGCCGAGTGCGCACCACCACCTGTGCAACGACAACATCACGCCCGACGCGCAAGACGTCTTGTACCACCTCGGTCTCTCGTACTCGCAGGACAACTGCGCCGAGCTCGCGTCCATCTTTGGCGACGTCAAGGTACATGTTCGAGGTCGTCGTCGTCTTTGTATCAACTTGATATGGTGCTAGTTTTTCGTGTGCGGTGGCAGCGCCGAGCGCATGAAGACGTTCGCCCACAAGATCGCCGAGACGCTGGAGATCAAGACGCCGTTCGGCTACAGCATCGCGCCCATTGGCTCGACGGCGCGCTACGTCATCTACAAGGTCGGCCCGGTCCTCATCGCCAACGTACGTCGTGCTGGTAGTATCAATGTATCAACGCGAACATGGGTAGCACGGCATGGGCATGCCGTCGACGTCGATCCTCTTGCATGAAGTCACCAAGCTCCTCGACCATGCGGGGGCGACCGACACGATTTACGTGCGCATGGGCACGAGCGGCGGTGTCGGCGTCGCCGGTGGCACCGTCGTCATTTCGTCGGCGGGCCTCAACCACGAGCTCGAGGCCATCCACCGCATCCCGATTCTCGGCAAGGTGCACGAGCGCGTCGCGGTCCTCGACGAGGCGATTGCGCTTGAGATCGCGGCGACGTGCGAAGCGCTCGAGCTGCCGCACACGATCGGCAAGACGCTGTCGTGCGATGACTTTTACGAAGGTACAATATTGGAGACCGATGACGGGTGTTTGACGCGGTGTTCTAGAGCAAGGCCGCCTCGACGGTGCGATCTGCGAGTACACGAACGACGACAAGATGGCGTTCCTCCAAAAGGCGTACGACGCTGGCACGCGCAACATTGAGATGGAAGCGCGCATGTTTGCCGCGTTCTGCCACAAGCTACGCATTCCCGCGGCCGTCGTCTGCGTCACGCTGCTCAACCGCCTCGAAGGCGACCAGATCACGCAGCCCCATGACGTGCTCGAGAGCTACGACCTGCGTCCGATGGCAGTCCTCCTCGCGTACATCAAGGCCAAGACGACGGCGACAGAAGAAGACGAAGCACCGGTGGACGAGGAAGCGTAAAATGGTCTAGGAAGCTAATCAATGCATGTATTTTTGTGTCTTCTTGTGCAGTGTCGGATACAAGACGATGGCGTAAGAGGAGATGCCGGGATTGTTGGCTAGGAAAGACAGCGTCGGAGGCGAGGTCTCCTTCACGACGGACGGCGCGTGCTAGTAGGCTTGGGTGCGTCCACATCCTTGCGTACAAGCACGCACGACACCCAACTTGGCACACGCGCGTCCACGGGCAAAGCAAGATGCCGACGGCTGCGGCTGCCACGTATGTCGCACTCAGATTCAGTGTCGGTTCTATCCCGCGAGGCCCATAAACCCGACACCGAATCTGAGTGAGACCGGACTTCAAGGTACATGTACCCGTCGCCATGCGGCATGGCTACATTGAAGTCCGGGAAAAAGATACCGTGGCCATGCGTCCATCCTCCCATGTACTCGTAGTGACGACGAGCCACATCGACCGCATCGGTCTACTTGCACCGGTAGGTGGTCCCTGCGCATGCGGCGGTTGGATGCGACGCTTTGATCGGAGCGAGAGGCCGATGTAGAAATCCGTCGCGCCGCAAATGACGAGGCCGCGCGCTGTGTGCTTGAAGTTGGCCGTGTCCCAAGTTGAAGAAGCCACCGCGGCAAGCCGCCGCCCAAGTTGGGCCGCACATCTTGAGGCACACGGCTCGAGAGAGTTGGACGTTCTACCCTTACGGGCCCGCCACTTGGCTGCACGAAGGCCGCCGGCAGGAGATGTCTCACGTATCTCAGTGATACAAATCGATCTTCCACATGCAAATGACCATACTTAAATCCCATGCAAGACAGCACCCTGTTGGGTACTCGACGAGTCGTCGAGATGCGAGGTGCTATCGACGCTCCAGGTACAGTGGAGAGAGCCTCCACAACCGTCCGTGTCAATGTTACCGGTACCTACGTGTAGCTCAATCCGCTGTCTATCAGAATGGTGGTTTTGAAACGGCAATGGTCCGAGAGAGCGCCACGTCACGTAGAAAGTGCAAACTGCCTTTTCAACACTCAGCTACGGACGGCGGCCCGGATCAACCCGTCAATGTGGCTGTGGCGCCATCTTGAGAAACAGGTGAAGTCGCGACGGAGTCCCGCAACGCCGTCGCGTTAGCCAATCAGGCCGCAGCCGCTTGACTTCGCCCCTGAAATTCGAGTGCACATTTCAATTTGCATTCGTTTGCACACTTCTGCTTTAGCATGGCCCACGTCCACGTCATCAACGCCAACCTCGAGAACCCGTCGACGGACGTGCTCTACCACCTCGGCCTCTCGTACTCGGAGGCCGAGCGCGACGAGTTCCGCGCCATCTTTGGCGACATCAAGTTCTTCGTGTGCGGCGGTAGCGCCGATCGCATGAAGACGTTTGCGCTCAAGCTCGCCGAGACGCTCGGCATCAAGGCGCCGTTCGGCTACAGCCTCTCGCACATTGGCTCGACGTCGCGCTACACGACGTACAAGGTCGGCCCCGTCCTCATCGCCAACGTACGCTTCTCCTATCCCGTTCGATCGCCGTATGTCTCATGACTCGTATACTAGCATGGTATGGGCATGCCGTCGATCTCGATTCTCCTCCACGAAGTCACCAAGCTCCTCGAGTACGCCGGGGCCCACGACGCGATCTACATCCGCATGGGCACGAGCGGCGGCGTCGGCGTCGAGGGCGGCACCGTCGTCCTCACGTCCGAGGCGCTCAACCACGAGCTCCGCCCCGTGCACGTCGTGCCGATCCTTGGCAAGCTCCACGAGCGCCCGGCTGTCCTTGACGCGGCCGTGACGGCCGAGATCGCGGCCATCTGCGACGAGATCTCGGTCCCGTACGCGATCGGGAAGACGCTCTGCGCCGACGACTTTTACGAGGAGCAGGGCCGCCTCGACGGCGCGATCTGCGAGTACACGAACGAAGAGAAGCTCGCGTTCCTCCAGGTGTGCCACGACGCTGGCACGCGCAACATTGAGATGGAAAGCCGCCTCTTCGCTGCGTTCACGCACAAGCTCAACATCCCCGCGGCCGTCGTCTGCGTCACGCTGCTCAACCGCCTTGAAGGCGACCAGGTCACCAAGCCTCACTCGGTCTTGGAGGAGTACGACCTGCGCCCGATGTCGGTCGTCCTTGCCTACATCAAGTCCAAGCTCCAGTAACAATCTACTCCTCGTCTGTATAACTCTGTAACCATTGTCCACTCGCTTGTTGTCGCCGAGGCAGAGGGTTTCCCTGCCCCGAAGGAGGCTGCCGGGATGATTGTCGAGTCCGCCAGCTCCGTGCTCCGTTGGGAAGTACCCACGCCCGCCTCTCATCTGCATGCAATGCGCTATCGCTTAATCGCGTCCTGGCGACAATCGCACGAGCCTGGTGCGAGCTGCCTTGTTTTGCGCTGACGGCGCTCTGCACCATTGCAGATAGTCGGTCGCCGACGTCCTCGTCTACAGCCATGCCCTTGCCTAGTATTGCGCTTCGGCTCATCATGAGAGCGCTGCATCAACGACCTACCCCCACTTGAGCTTCGTGTAATACTATCTCAAGCGAGCGTCTTCGGTACAAATGCACGCACCTCGGTCCAGTCGAGCGCGTTTCCGGCCATCGCTCAGCCATGACCTCTCGTGCAAGTCGGCGCGAGCAGATTCGAGCGGATGGGTCGTCGCTAAAACTCTACTACCCTGGGTTCGATGCAGCGGCGCCCCTCCTTGGTGCTCTGTTGGCCGCCAAGTCGACACGCGATTCTTGTCCTGCCCTCGATGCTGGCTTTGACGTCATGTAGCAATACCATACTACAGTCTGCCACTTGAACGAGGCCGAGCATCGATCGACGCTGTCTGTCATGCGACACCCAATCTTTTAGAAACCAGTATTAAAGTTAGACTATCGCAAGAGATACAAATGGTTAGGGGAACGACTGCGAGGCGTAGGTAAAGCGCTGGAGATCGTTGGTCGGTGCATTGCACCGCCACAAGTGCGCTTGGCTGCCGTCCGCTGTGCGCATGTCGAGGCAAAAACCAAGGTGCGTCAAGTGGCGGAGCTGCTTCGTGCTCGGGTCGTAGCGCCATTTCTGGTTGGCGTTGGTCGCGTCGCACGCGTAGAGGTGCACGACGCCGCCGTTCCAGGGCTGGTAGGCATCGAGGCAGCGCTGCGGGTCACCCGTGTTGGAGCGCGCGCGCCACGTGTTGTCTGCATTGCTGACGACCCACTCGTACGGGTAGCTGCCTTCGGGCGGGAACTGGATCATCTCGCCGTTCGACGAGAGAAACCGATTGTTGAAGCTGTAGAGCTTCACGCGCTCTTCCGAGACGGCGAGCCACTGGTTGGGTGCGGGGTTGCCACAGGCCCACACCTGCACTTTGTTGTTCTGGCTCGGGTCCACGTCCAGGCACAGGTTCGGGTGCGTTCGGTGCGCAATGCGGTGGTTGGCGCTGTCGATGCGCCAGCGCTGGTTGCCGTTGGATGCGTCGCACGTGTACGTGTGCACCTTGAACGCACTGCCGTCATAGTACGCGTCGAGGCACTCGTGGTTCGAGTTGACCTTGATGTGGTGCGTCCTGCTGTCGTAGTTCCACTGCTCGTTCGGCGACGGGCCGCGGCTCGGGCCCGCAAACAAGTTGGAGTAGTACTCGGAAAGCACATGGCCCGACGACGTGACGAGGTTGAACTGCGGCGTGAAGACGACCGGGTACGCGGCGTGGCGGGCAAGGCCGCACGTGCCGACGCCGCCGACGCCGCGCTGGAGCCGGACGTACCCGTTCTCGCCCCACCACGTGCCCCACGAGTTCTTCATCTTGAAGTACGGGAGACCCGCATCGTCGTTGCCGTAGCCGACACCGAGGAGGACGTGGTCGAACCACGTGTCGCAGCCGCCCGTGATGACGCCGCCGGCGTAGTTTTTAAAGACCGGGCTCGACGAGCCAATGTCGACGGCCACCGGCTGGAGGTTGAGCGCTTGCTCGAGCTCGACCTCGCCGACGGTGCTGGCGACCGTCGTGAATGGCATCTTGGTGGGCGCGCAGTTTTTCTCGCACGCGGCGGTCGTCATCGTCCACTCGTTCGTGTTGGGATATGCGTCCAGCGTGCACATGCCGTTGGCCGCCATCCACCCGAGCGAGAGGTCGGACCAGCCGCCGTAGCAGCCGTTGCCGGGCCCGCAGCTGAGCGCCTGCTGGTCCGAGAAGAGTGTGAGCTGGCGGTTGTTGACGAGGCAGTAGGCGCTTTCGGCCGCGGCGACCGCAGCGTAAGCAAAGCACGAGCCGCACACGCCTTGGTTGCGCACGGGTGCCATGCAGCCAGAGGTGGACCAGTCGATCGACGTCGTGGCCGTCGACGCTGGCAGCACCGTCGCGTCTTCGGTACTAGTACGGGACCATGTCTCGTTGCGCGCCGGCTTGTTGCCGCGGACCCACTTCTCGAACGCGGCTTGTGTCATGAGCGCAAATGGATTCTGCTCCGAGAAGCGCGCTTGCGGGTACTGCGCATTGAGCGTCGCGACCATGTCGAGCGTCTCTTGGAACGCGTCGAGCTCGGCGTCAATGTCGGTGGCCTCGAGGCCGCTGGCGAGGCCGCGCGCCTGGGCTTCTTGGCCAGGCCCACTCTCTTTCCAGGCCTTGACGCGGGCACGGAGCGCGGCGCGATCGTCCGTATCGGCGATGCAGCATGTCGCCAGCGCGGCGAGAAGGAATACCACGCGCAGCATGCTGCTGGTCGAGGTTTTTCGAAATGGCCAAGCAGTTGCAGATTCCCACGCTGCACGAGACGAACGAATCACGCGCGATCTTCAACGTGAGTCACGCCGTTGGAAAGCACGTGGCAGCAGCGCCACGCAGCCCATCGAGAGCCACCAAGCCGAAGCGGCTCGCTCTCGCTGCCACCCTCGTTCGGACAATGCACCGACCACATGCCACCCATTGGGCTTGACGGCGCCGTCGCCGCAGCGCAACGGACCGTCCAAGGCGGAGGCTGCGACATCTCTCTCGACAGAAGCGCGGGTGTCTACTGTGCTCCGTCACCACGACATCGATCGTCGCACCCTTCTCCACCAGCATTGCTACCTACGGTATTGCATGACCAGCGCGCGGCTGCGAAATGCGCTTCAAGCCTCTTGGCTGATCCACGCTGCTACAGTATGGTACCGAAGAGGAGCGCTGTATCAGCAGCAGCACAGGTCTGGTCTGGTAGGTGTATCTGTACCGGGGTCCCTGTGCCGGTCGGCAGGCGCCAAAGAACTGCGCCGTCGTACCGGCAGCTGGGCGGCGGGCGCCAAATTTTTCATTGCGTCCGCTCATTGCGTCCTGCGTGGTGCACATCACACGTCTGCACGTCTGCATGAGAGAGCATGAGAAGGAGGAGGGGGTCGAAGCAGGGACGGTGCTCTGATGGCACCTGTCGCTACCGATGCACCGCTTCTGTTGTCCAACGCACTGGTAGACGAACAGCAATGCAACAAGAGAAGCGCAGCACAGTATACATTATTGGCTCGAGCCATGAGCAGATACTCCTATGCTCCAAGTCGAGCAAGAGCCGAGATCGAGTTGCTCACGCACGCCAACGAATAGGGCCATAGGTGGCGTCAGTATGTCGGACTGGCGTCCTGGGCATAGGTATGAAAAAGATGGTCTTGGGCCATGATGTAGCCGGTTAATTTTCGGACGTGGTCTTTGCGGGGGTTGCTCGCTTGGCTTGACTGCACTGCAGGCGCATGACCACTCCAGCAGACTTGACGTTCGAGCCGATTGCGCGTCAGCAAGCACACATTTAGTGGGGTACCCTACGGGGTAGTCTCCATTTGACCTTAGTTTTGGTAGGGGTACCTATGGTATTTCTAATCAAGATTGGGTTCTGCATCGGGGGCCGACCCTCCGTACGACCTCCACGCATGCAAAGGACTTAACTCGTCATGCCTTGCGCAGCTTGTGGCCTGCGCGCTGCAGCCGATGTCAGAGCGTGTGGTACTGCGGGCGCGACTGCCAGCGAGGCCATTGAAAGACGCACGAGCCAACGTGCGCGCGTCTAGAACCTGTACGACCTCGCGCTGCCGGCGGGAAACGACGAGGACCTCGAGCGCATGAAGCAGGTACACGACATGCTCTCAACGGACCTGGACTCGCGGCGGACGGCGCAGCTTGATCCGTGGATGCGTTTGGTGCTGAGCCACTTTGACGCGATCCCGCCGCTACCGAACGAGTTCCGCGCCCGCGCCCGCGCGTCTAGAGTTTCCCGGCCTTGTCGGGGTACCATGCAGCCAAGGACGGCGACACGCGTGAACGCGGCCGTGACGACTGCGTCTACGACCCGCGCATCCACCACACCTTCACCAACAAGTTTGTGGGCGCCGACATCCACCGGGCGCCACACACATTGCAGTCGGCTTTGTCGATTTCTCGTACCTCCCCTTGGTCGCACTGACGTCGCCAACCAACTCTGAGCAATCCCACGGACTGGGGCGGGATCGAAGCGTCGGTGTTGTGCGTGCTCCTCGCGAAGGCCCCTGTGGATGCTATAGTGTGTGTACTCGTCGTGCTAGATGCAGTGCGTTCCAAGCGGGCGTCTTGCGCGAGAGTGCAAGATTGACGTCGTCGTCGGTGGAGAGCCTGCATCCCGAGCGTGCACATGGCGCACGACGAGTGGAAGCGCACGCTCGACAAGCAGTCGCTGGGTGCGTCAGCCACCTTGGCGTTGCCAAATGGCCGTGCGAGTGCGCTCGAATAAGCGCAAGGGGTGCCTAGTTGAAGCTGGTGTGTGCTTTTCGAATGCTGGCTGCAGGACGTGCCACGTCATCGTCGTTGGAACGGCATTGTAACGGATCATTCAACATGACGTACAAGAGCACGTCGACGACGGACCCCGAGGACGAAGGGAACGAGCCGTGGCGCGTCACGCTATTGCGCGCGCTCATCCACGGCGACCTGGAGAGTAGAATCCCAATTGTTGTCTTGCACCTAATGGACAATGTGTCCATCTAGTCATGACGCGCGACCTCACGAGCCACGTGCATGCGATTGCACAAAAGCTCACGACGCACATGAGCCGCGCCAAGCTCGAGTGGGAGACTCTGCACTGGTGCGCACGGCCATAACGTATAGCCTCCTTGACGTACTACTCCCATCCTACGCGTAGGTGGCAGCTGCAGGACGCCACCCCGCTCTTCATTGCATCGCTCTTCGCCCACCCGCCGCTCGTGCGCTGGCTTTTGAAACGCGGCGCAGACCGGTCCTTGAACCCGAGACGGCGCACGACTCATCTTGGCGCGTAGCAACATTCCTTGCTACTTGGGTCAAACCGCGCTCGACCTCTGCGGCGAGCACTCGGACGACGCCGACGCGATCGATCAATGCTCGCGCTTGCTCAAAAATTCACCCAAAAGCACGCTCTTCGGTACTTGACGAGGCTCTCATGACGGGTCTGGTAGTCCCAAACGCACCGGAGCGCACCGAGGCGACGTGCCACATCTCGACCGAGCAAGTCTTTCGGCACATTCAGGTCGCGGAGGAGAATGAAAAAGGCGTCCTGCGGCTCGTCGATAAGCGCGTGCCTCATACGTTGCACAAGTGCATTCTGAACCTTCGCTGGGCGACGCCGCTCAGCAACGGCAGCATGATTGAGAAATACGAAGTCCGGTACCGCGTGCACGTCCCCGGCGAAAAGTCCATGGTAGACGATCCATTATTGTCCTCTGTGCTGTAGACTGCTCATAGGTCCGCGGGTGGCGCAGCCAGACGACGACGCACTCGCGGCTGCGTGACACGCAGACCATCACGATCGAAGGGCTCCAACTCGAAACGTGCTTTGATGTCTCGGTGCGCGCGCAGAACGCTGTCGGGCGTGGCGACTGGAGCACGATCGAGCTCGTGACGGCGCCGAGTCATCCCAAAGACTGAGTCGCAAGAGAGAAATCGTTTAACTTTATACATGGCATCGCGAGGCTTAGCCCGCCTTGTAGATCAAGATGGCCTTTTCGTTGTAGTAAAAGTAGACAAAGTTGCGCGTGACGTGCGTGACGTACGAGCCAAAGTTGCGGCCAACGCAGACTACCCACGACGGATCCCACGCCTTGTCGAGGTGGTCGCGGATCTCGTCGCAGACGGCGAGCCCGTGCTTCTCCCACTCCTCCGTGTCGTACTGCCCGAGGCGCGACGTCGTGTGCTTGATCACGTCTTCGAGCACGTCGTCTTCCATGTCGCACGGCGTCTTGACCCGCGCGCCCCACATGTGCTGCCAGCTCGGCGCTTCGCCCATCGCCAAAAAAGATATGCGACCGTTCGCACCTCCCAGTAATAGTGTGAATGCATTGAATAGTGTGTCGATGCGTTGCATGTCTTTTTCTTTGTATGCAAACGTGCAGCCTGTAATAGTGTAGTAACTCGTATTAGTATGCCAACCTTGTATTGGTGTGTGGTCATTCGTCAGACTGACCAAGCCGAGACGGGCCGTGCGACGCGCGATAGAGAGGTGGAGGCCAATGACACAGTACAGGGCGGTGGCAGGGACCGGGTGCCACCAAGGATGTCAGGGTCTGCGAAGGGACAAGCCTTCGAGAAAGCGACGTCCTTCAACTGCCAGAAAGGTCGTCAACCGGAAAATGAACCGGCAAAGTCAACCTTGCCGAGCGCTCGCCAAACACTCCCGCCTCATTGAAAAGGCAGCGAAGCTGAGCGCAACGTGGACACGCAGTCTGCGTTACGTCGCTACGTCCTGGTTAGCAGAGTGGCTTCTGGTTTGCCTCCAGTTCCAGTTCGGGTCGACTTCCATTCTGGCAGTCATTCTGGTCTACATCCAGTTCTATTCTAGTCGCCTCCACGTCTAGTCGCTGCCATCGCAAGCAAAAGAGATTTGCGACGACAGCGCATCATCACGCCCTTGTCTGCGGCGTTCCCGCCGGATTCGGTCTCAAAAGCGCGCGAAACTCAAACTCAAAAAAATGGAGCGCAGGCCGAAGGCAGAAACCGACCTGTCAAGCGCGGGTCGCGGAGGCGCTGCCGCGATTGCATTACGCGCCTTCTGCATGAGAGGCTACGGCGGGACGCCTTTTTTCGCGCCCGAGCGCTTGGGTGTGGCAAAATGGGGCGTAGTATTAAATTCGACTGGTGGGTTGAAAGAAATGAAGTATCATTTATGGCAGTTGCAGACAGGCCATCATCAAGATCATGGCCATGGACGACGTGCGAGGTCCTCGTGCCCAAGACGATTGGCCGACCGGGGCATCGACGGGACCGACGCCCGCGCGATCGCATCCGAAGCGCGCTGCAAGGTGCA